CATGTGACTTCTCTACAAGAGATCCTCGCTGTGCAGCCCCGGCTACTTCATCTAAGCAGTAACCATGGCAATTCATGATGAAGGTATAAAGGAAGTGAGTGACTACTGAGGCCATGAGAACAATAGAGAGGCTGTTACCCGCTAATCAGCACCGTCAGCGGGCTGAAAAGGAAGAAAGAAAAGCCTCTAAGTGGAGCAACAGTTGGCAACTTAAGAGAGAAGGTAATGGATACTGGTCCCAGATGAAAGGAGCGGGAGGATTAACTCTACAGGGTGATCATAGGAGCTGTTAAGATTGCCAAAGCAAGAGATGACATACAGTGGAACGGGGATAAAAAGAAAGAAATCGTGTCAGTGTTTATAGGTTTGGATCACCTTAAAACTAAGAGGGACGTTCGACCATAAAATGTTGGAAACTGGTGAAAATGTCCTCAGGAAGTTTTTTGGGGGGCTTTTCCAAACACAATCCTTTTGATTTCCACAGAGTTGTGCCCAGTTCTTCCTTTCAGATATAACTTCTGCCAGATAAGTCAGTTACCCAACAGTAAATAGTTTCCTGTAATTAACACCAGTTAAAGTATCCTCCTGCTGTCATGGAACATCCATGATCTGTCTCTGTGATTTAAGGTTTAAATTAAAGCTGCAGCATTGAACATCCAACACATTCCTGGCACTTCCACAAAGGCATTTCACCCACAACTGTTGCTGCAGTCCTGGCCCAGTGGTATGGAGGGGAACACCCAGTATCCACTGTCCCATCAGCTCACAGCTCGACATTCTGGTCATCCCCTCAGAGGAGAGTAGCTTTCAGCTTGATGGGCTCTCTCACGCTGGGATCCAGTGACCACAGACCAACCAGGGAAAGTTAGGAGGATATTAATGCTGTTTCTGATGCATGGAGGGTTTCCACTGAACCTGGAAGATTGAGCTGACAGAGCAGCTACTTTCTGCTGATCCAGATCAGTATGGTGACATTATTTGGGGGAATTTAAAAAAATTTTTCAAAGATTTCTTTATGTTTTTGCTATAAGGGGGGTCAGGAGTGGGGGTGTAAATTACCACCTTTACCATGATACATTATCCATTTATTTGGAGGACGATTCCATGTTTGCTGAGATCATAAAAATGTTCATGATACCATGAGGATACAACTCAGCAAGTCTGTGATTGATATTATTCAGTGTCATATACCAATCACTAATAAAAAAAAACAATAAAAATGGATCACCTGTTCACATTGGGATATAGTCATTCTCTTCTTCTGTTTCCAGTTTTTATTGCAATTTTTTAAGCAGCTCTACTTATAACCTGATTATGATGCAAAAATATACACTGAAAATACCCATAATTTGTTCTCAGGTCTCCATACCTGTTTTTAAAACAACAAGATATAAACTATTTGATCATACCGCTAACGATCACCTGAATGATGCTTTCTGCAAACTTCAAAACCTGATAGAAGGTTTGGGACAGTTCATTTTGCTGTTAAATACATTTTTTATGACAGATTTAATCAGCATTTACATGAAATTACACGAAAATATAAAATATATGTTGGGTCACAATTAATAACATGCAATAATCATCCAAGCTAAAAAAAAATAAACTGTGGAGTTTATTTAGGACCAACTTGACAAAGGGAAAGTTACATTTCTGGAGCAGTAAATGTGTTTGCTGAGCTTTTACCATTCATGTTTAAGTTGTGAAACTGGTAATGGCTTATCCATTTGATTAGTGTGTGTTGAATAAAGACGTCAACTAAAGTCATCCGTTCTAGACTTACATTGCACTGAATTATCAAAGCAAGTTTTCAAGAGCAGCAAGAAATGTTGAGTTTATTTTGTCCATCCATGTCCTCCGGATAAACCCCCATAAACAGTTTAAACTCTTCTGGCTTTGCTGATTTCAACACTGACGATAAAATGCATGCAAAGAAATACGAGAAAACCAAAAGAAGCAACCTGACCTCTATCACCACATATCGCTTGTCAAGGAAGTCATTCAGGAACTTTATCTGGAGCTTTAAACCAGCACTACGTTTCTAGTCATGTCTTCTTAAGGCCAAGATTGTGGGTCTTAAAGAGAGGCCAGACAGCCCTACGTCTTCACCTCCCCTTCACCCTCAAGGCTGGTTTATACCCCCCCCCTTCCGCAGACACTCTGGTGCATCCCTCCGAAATTGTAGCTGACCGCAGACAGGAGGCTTCCGATTGGTCAAATTGGTAAAATCTACATCCGCTCTACATTATCCGTATTTCCTGTTTGGTACCTTACCGGCTTGTTTTGTTTGTATGACCGCCATTGTGGAAAACAACTCGCGAAGATGGACCAGCTAGAAGAGCGAGGTGCACGAGAACGCTGGGACCCTTTTTCCACCTGAATCCCCACTCTTTTTCACCCTCATGTCCCTCCATTGTCGCACAAACATACCCCTATTTCCTCAACGCCACGGCCGTATCTAAACCCACAGTTAGCTCTTGATTGTCCCTCTTGCTTTGTGGCGTGGAATAACATAGCGCAGACAACACTTCAATATTGGGCATAAATCAAAAATATCTGCGAGAAGCTCACTGCGACACACTGCTGCGACAGTATCACCAGCCCTTTAGAGCTCATCCTGAAGGACTCAAACATGAGTCATAGCCTCAAACCGCAACCTGTTTTCACTAAGGGTCAGTAGCAGAAGATATCTGACGTTTATTATTATACAGATAGTGGTTATAGACCTTCATTCTCTCCTGGAAAGCCAACCTGACTACATTACCCCATCACAGTTTCAGAGTTCAGACATAGTAAATTTATTGCAGCCTCACATGAAGAAATAATAAAAAAAAAGATCCTTGGGATGTTTGCTGATCTGAATCACATGTTTTTTTTCCACCGACGTCATGTTCAATGTCTCTGCTTACATCCATTTTTTCCCAGGTTTCTCCCTCTCTCTTTATGTTCTCCAGAAAACATGTCTTTGGGAGTCTGCTTCCTGTTTGTAGGAGAAAAAGGGAGAGATTTCCTTCGAGCCGCTGCTCTCTGGACACAGTGTTCTGCCTTCGCACAATCACAGGAACCCAGGGGGCAGCGAGGAGGGCCTTTCTTGCCCTGTAAACTTTGTGCAGTCGCAGAAAGAAATGCAGCCACTACAACTTGATGGATGAAGCAGATAGTGAATGTTTGCCCTGAATCTGACCACTGAAAGATCAATCCTTAAAAAAAATAAATAAAAAAAATCCAAATTGTTCTGCAAACTGTACAGCAATGAACTACAGCATGAAAACACACGTCTGTTTTCTGCATTATGCTCTCCTGTTGGAATTTACTGCTGGTGTAAAAAAAACAAACTATGGGTATTCCAGATGTTCACCTTCTCCTAGTGATGGTCCAGCATCAAGAAATCAGTGAAACTACTCTTCTTGGTAACTTATCAAATAAAAATCTAAAAAGCAAGCTAAAAAAAACTACTCTGCTTGGAGGTGCAATTTCTATTTATAGTAAATTTTGCAGATATATCTTGTATATGGACAGACAGATAGATAAAATGGGTCATTGATTTAATAAAATTAATCCTAAGACTTACTAAATGTATCTGGAATTTGCACATGTCCCTAAAGACAAAAAGCCCAAAGTCATACATCAGTTTAAGGAATAAAATTGTACAAAAGTGACTGAAATGATTCAATGCGTTTGGTTCTGTGCATTGATTAACCAGCAGCCTATTGTTCTAGATTCTAGAGCCTACCACTGCCTTTTTCCAGTAACATCTACTGCTGTCTGCGCGAAACGCCAAAACTGTTTATATCCACCCTTCTCCATCAACAACAAGCCCAAAGCACACAGGCATGGCTCCACACCTGTTGATGGTAACATCCTCTGACGTGTGTCACCTTCGTTTTCTCGCACTGACAGGCTGAATCACACCCGCCCGCCCAAACATCTAGTTAAGCAGGGGGCGGGCGGAGTTACATCTCACAGTGAGGACACAACATTACAACTGTACACAAAGCAAAAACTGCATCCTCTGTTCAGGAAAAACACTACTCCACTTGAGCAAAACGCACAACACCTGACATCTCAGTCCTTTGAGATTGAACTGTTGCACATATTGACAGCTGTGATTCCAGATTTCCTGCAACTCTTAATATATATGTTAAATGCAATGCTTTTATAGATAAAACAAGAGTCTGTAACATTTTAACCTCTTTTGAAGTATTAAAATGTCATGACAGATATTACTGATGTGACAAGGCTTCAAATATGGACCAAATAAATGAGGTTAAAACTGTCAGAAAAATAGATAAACAACTGTATTGGGGAGCAATACATGCCTTTCTCTAAACCTAAAGCATGTTGGGTAAATTAATTTCTCTACATCGTCAGCATCTCCTTTGCTACATGAATGATACCTTAAGTACTGAAATCAAATTCCATCCTATTGAAGGATATACTTGGATGCAGACAGTCACTAAGATCCAGGAAAACCTGTTCAGATTTCACCCTAGATGTGCATCATCATAATCCAATAATAGGTGTGTAAATTTCCATACATACTATCACTTAGGGTCTCTAGATGCATTAGTAATTTGGCATGGTATCCACAAAAAATACCAAGTGGGTTTTTTTTCTTCCATATTTTGATGTAGATTTGGGGGTTGTTTGGTTAAGAAAGAATGTTCAATGATTAATTTTGAAAAAAAAATGTTTTAAAAAACATTTTATGACTTTATTTGTCTTCATCTAAGTGGAAAATCTTAGTATCGTGACAAACATTATCAGTATACATGCCAACAGAAATAAAAAATAAGAAAAAGATGCAGTGATGCCCTATTTAATTGCATTTCTTATATTAAAACTCATGTGACCGCCCCTGATTAAAAGAACTACGGCCGTGAAAGCAGTTTATTCTGAGTTATGTTAAGTGCTATAATTAAAAAAGGAGATGAATGTTGCTTTTTTTTACTACTAAGATGAGTTTAAAGCTCCAGACAATGGAAAACTTCACTACTTGCCTGCCAACCGTTTGATTAGCGAGCTGCTTCATCCGATTGAACTGCTTCTTCATTTTTGCTCCTCCGCCCTCCGAGTGTCCAAGTAGCGCTTGAGCAGCAGGCTGCGGTCGGTCATGAAGGTCCAGAGCCTTTTCCCTCCGCTACAGGCCGCCGCTATGACAGAGGAAGATAAGCCAGAGCCATTGGAGCCACAAGCCAATTAGAAAGAGTCCTTAGCTTGCTAGTAGTAGCACCTGGGCTAGCCCTGTTCTCTACTGAAAAAAATAAAAAAAACATATATATATAAAAAAAAGAATTTCCCACTTCGAGCTACGGCATGATAACATAACCTCTTTTGTTTTATATTTTTCTACGTACAATAAAGTCCCGAATAAAGAGGCGCCGAACTTTCACTGGCTCCAGCGGCTTTTCATGGCTGCTCTCCTGACCGTTAGCCGTTGAGCTAGCGCCACTGGGGGGAGAAGAGGAGGAGGGGGGTGTTCTTCCAGCAGCAGCAGCAGCAGCTCTCCTCTGTCTCTCTCTGCCTCCTCTGTCTGTCTCTCTGCCTCCTTTGTCTCTGCCAGCCCTCTGCAGGAAGTAGAGCTGGTTCTCCTCCTCAGCATCTGCCAGCCAAGTAAGCAGCCAATCCTCCCTCTGACTAAAAGCTCAGGGAAAAAAGAAACGTTTCAGTCTCCAGCTGATAACACACCTTTTACAATAAATACCACCGCAGCAAAGGTTAAGCCAAGCAAAACTTCCAAAGTCACTAATCAGTTTAAGGTTTATAATTATAAGCCAGGTCCAGGTTCTAGGGTTTAGATTAGGGGGTCCCACAGTGGGGGTCGGGGGGTCCTTGTGATTTGGACCCTGAGGTTTATGGAGGGCTCAGAGTTATTGAAGGGCAGATATAGGCAGTCCTCTCCACTGTGGTGGGCACTTTAGCACACCTTTTGGCTCCATGGAGGACCTAGAGCAGGGGTTCACCAAGTGGTGCACCAAGGGGCCCTAAGGGGGCCTCATGGGGGGCCCACAGCATCCTCTGACAATAGCAGAGCCCCAGTGGGCTAAGGTTAACATTTGTATTTTATTCTGTTGCCCTTTTTTAATCAGAGCATTATGAAATGCTTTATATAGCAAATCCATTATTTTAGTCAGATAGAGCATTTAAGCATTTATAGAGATTTGAAAATCACATCATAAAAAAAATTAGGAGTTAAAAGAAACAATAAAAATATGATTATTATGTAGGAAGTTGAGGTGAATGCTGATCCTTCCTTCCTTCCTTCCTTCACTCTTCCATTCCTTCAAATCTTCCATCCATCCCTACCTTCCTTCCTTCCTCCCTCCCCACCTTCCTTCCTTCCTTCTTTCCTTCTTTCTTCATTCCCTCCCTAATTCCATCCTTCATTCCTTTCTTGTTTACTTCCTTTCCTCCCTCCCTCCTTCCTCCCTTCTCCCTTTTTTTTTCTTCATTCCCTCCTTCATTCCTTTCTTCTTTACTTCCTTCATAACCTCCCTCCCTCCCTTCTTTCTTTCTTGCTCCTTTTCTTTTTTCATTCCCTTCTTCATTCCTTTCTTCTTTACTTCCTTCATAACCTCCCTCCCTCCCTTCTTTCTTTCTTGCTCCTTTTCTTTTTTCATTCCCTTCTTCATTCCTTTCTTCTTTACTTCCTTCATTCCCTACCCCTCCCTCCTTCCTTCTTCCTTTTCTTTCTTCATTTCCTCCTTAATTCCTGTCTTTTTTACTTCCTTCATTCCCTCCTTTCTTCCTTCTTTCTTTTCTTTCTTCATTCCTTTATTCTTTATTTCCTTCCTCCCCTCCCACCCAATAAAAATATGTTTATTATGTGTGCAGTTAAGGTAAATGCTGATCCCTCCAGTTCATAGGTCAGTCTTGGTAGCCCTTCCTATGAATCAGTACCCATAACCTCGCCCTTAAAAAGGTTGGTGACTCCGGACCAAGAGAGTCACTGCAAAAGAAAAACACCCATTTTGAATTTAACGTTTACATCATACAATTTGAAATTCAAATTGAAAAGCATTTTTCAATTGGACCTTTTATATTGAATTAGTCGAATAATGATGTTCAAAAATAATAAACGTTTAACTTTTGTTTTATATCATATTCCTGGAATCTATCAGCACTTTAAAGATCTTCTGGTTCCTAAAAGCCAGCCTTTTATGGATCTGATGTGTTTTCCACACTCTTTACAGACCAATGGGAGCAACTGGACATCTTTTAAATTATTCAGTCAGTCATGTATCCATCAAGCTTCTTTTGATCATTGTGGGTTGGCCCATTAACAAAACAAGACAAATACTAATTACAATGAGCAATCAGATCTGCTGAAAGAATCATTGGATCATAGGCTTCTACAGGTCAATGGTCAGGAAAAAAGGGCAACATGCTGTTGTTGGTTTTTTTTAAAATTAAAATCCACTCACATCTTTTTGAAAACATAATTTCTTTACGAATGCTGAGTAGCTTATGGAATCATAATGAAAATAAAACATTACTTTAGCTAGTGCCCACTAGGCCATGGAACTGAGATATCATCCATAATCCAGGAATAACTTGATTTATTTATTTAGAATCTGAGTTTAGAAACCACTAATAAGATATCCATATGCAAGCCTCTTTTGAAGCAATCCCATGCATGAATTTGGTTCAGCACTTTTACAATTCCCACTTGTAAAACACTGCCACCCACTGGCCAAAATGTAAAAATACACTTAGTTGCCCAGTAATGATCCAGAATCTTTCAGCAAGACTGTTTTTTTTTATTTCTGCTGATTTAAAGTGAAAAAGAATGTTTTTCAAATTATATCAAACATATATATTATAAACATTTTAAAACTATTGGCCTTATTCTTTGTGTAATTAATTAATCTTTTTTTATCACTGATTATTAATGCTATGGTTTAAAAGTACAAAATTAGAAGTGAGAAACCTTACCCACCGGTTTTATCATTTACTATTCCTCATATGATTGTTTGATCTCTTTTTCCATTTTGTCATTTATATATATATATATTTTAATATTTCACTCTTACTCGTTTTCTTCAGCTTATCTGGGCCATATTTTTGATATTGGTGGATGAAGAAATCCTCCATAGAGACAAAAATAGGGAAACTATGAAGGGAGGCGCCATCATTTCCGATTATCTTTATTTAATAATTTTCTCTCCTGATAATGGAATCATCATTTTCAAACTTTAGTGTCTGTTTAGTTTAGTGTAAGCAAAGTATATTAACATTCTTCCTATAATTCATTGGTATTCCACTTTATGAACTGTACCTAATTTGTAACTCGTTTATCAATATGTTTATTTTTAGGTTTAAAGTTGACATACAAATAAAAAAAACACTGCTCGATTTCATTGTCATATTAATTATGATAAATAAACAAACACGTACATAAATAAATAAATAAACAAATAAATAAACAAATATTGTAGCCTGATATTTTGTAAAAAGGAAACAAATACATTTTTAGTGAGTTTGCCAAAGATATATATTTTTAAGCTATTATTTTGAAATAACACGCTAACCGGAAGTGCGCTTGTTGTGTTTCCGGGCTGCGCTTTCTCTATGTAATTTGTTCCTAGTTTTTCTAAATCAACGCTTGAAATTGGTATTTCCTCCCTTTTGCTTTTCTTTCGTTTTAACTGGCATTTTTTTCCCTTTTCAGTGGAACTCATGCCGCAGGACTGCGTTCCGGATTCAACCGCTTAATTTTAGTCTGTTTTGCTACACCTGTAAGCTAGCTAGCCTGTTAGCGTGTGGTAGCTAAATAGAAGGATCCTATGCTAGCTCCATAACGGTGGCCCTAGGATCACTGATGGCAGCTCGGCAGCCCTTCACAGATACGGACACTGCGGATGAAGCGGTCAGGGCGACCTGTGACGATGCAACCATCTGTAAAAGGTAAAGTGACAAAGCCCTAAATTATATCCAGCATTCTCTCTAACTCTTCCACCTTTTTTCATGTTACACCAAAACTCTTGAAATAATTTATTGTAATAATTTATTGTGATTTATGCGACAGACCAACACAAATTGCAACGTAACTGTGAAGAAGTAGTGATAATGAGGCATGTTGAAGCGTTTCGACCCATTGCCAAACTGTATTGATACTGTCTCGCAGAATACTGACACCTGCTGGACTTTTATAGGCACTACAGGCAGTTTATTTGACTAAACTGAATTGATTTGATGACCTAACACACTCATATAGTTGAAGTTATTCTAGGTTATATTGTATAATGTCATATCTGTGTTTAAGTTGAAAATATCTTTGATATTTTTAGAAGCAGCCAATAAATAATGTAAAGATATAACTTGAAAATGATGGTGAAAACAATAAGTACAGTAACAACAGTAAATTAACTTTAATTCATATTAGTTGAGTGATAACTCAGAGGAAAAATAAGACACGATGAGAAAATTAGAATCGGCTGAAATGTTCCTGTTACTTTTAGGCTGCTCAAAAATTCTTGATAATTTTAATGATAAACTGCAAAAGATTAGACGTATTTTTTAGCAGATGCATCATGTTGACAGATACGTGTTTAAACACAGTTTAGTGAGTCAGTCAGTTAGAAACTATCCCTGTATCAGTTACATGACTTTATTGAAACGACACACTTACCGATACAGTGTTTTCATCTATGGGCTCGACGCATGCACTGACGTTTCTGGACCCATCACTTTGAAGAAGAAAGGAAATGATACATGATTTGAGACCTGGACTTTGACTAGGCCGTTCTCACAGGATATTTATATAATATATATAATTCTATTTTTGATCCAGACCACCCTTGTGTCTCTGGCTGTATGTTCAGGGTAGTTGTCCTGCAGGAAAGTGAACCTCTAACCCAGTCTCAGGTCCTTTATAGCCTCTAACAGGTTTTCTTTCAGGTTTGTTCTGGATTTAGCTCCATCTATCTTCCCAAAAAGATTGACTTAAGGCTTCAGGGTAATTACACAGCCATAACAACATTGGGTTGCTTGGAAATGCTTCTCCCTGCTTATCAGCCTAGTAACATCCTGCTAGTCTGAAAAACAGTTTTAAAGAAACCTTCTGGAAATTCCTCAAATTTTTTTTCTTAAACTTATTAAATAATGTTTCAAACAAGTTCATTGAAAGGCAGGAGGTTTAACATTTTCATTGGTGATCTGTTCTCAGGTTTGCTACCAGTAAAGGCTACTGGAAGGACTCCTGTCTGCAGTACTTTGTCAGGAATGTAGGAGAGCGGAAGGCTCCTGAAATCAACAGAGGCAAGTGATGACTATTCTTCAAATCTTCCCTCTGTTAGCTCTTTTAAGCACAGCCCAACCATCATACATTACAGACGCATGTTTATCTGGAAATATAATGAACACAACAACATTGTTTCTTTGACAGGTTACTACGCTCGGGTTAAAGGGGTCAACCTTCTCCTTGATGCATTTCTAAGGAAAACAGAATGTCAATGTCAAGTAATCAACCTGGGTGCCGGCCTGGACACCACCTTTTGGAGACTAAAGGTGAGAACCTCTTCCTGTCTGTTCTGTTTTTAACAAAATGCTAATTCAGAAATACCAAAGCGTCTCTGTGTGCAACAGGAGCAAAACTTGTTACCGAAGAAGTTCTTTGAAGTGGACTTTCCAACTGTGGTGGCCAGGAAGATCCACTATATAAAGTAAGGCTGCTGTTCTTCCATATCGTTTTGCTTTCAGCCTTTATTTCTTACCTCGCCTTCCACATGGGTTTACTGGGGTTATATTAATTAAACTTTATTGATCTCACATTGGAGAACTTTACCGCTGCTTTCCACTTGGGGAGCAGTGAGATCGTGGGGCGCCCAGGGAGCAGTGTGGGGTTAAGGTTCTAACTTAGAGACCCAGAGTAACAGTCTGTGGGAGTGGGTTTCGAACTCACAAACTCAAGATTACAAGCTCTATGCCATGACCTCTAGGCTGCCACTCCCCTCAAAAGGTGTTCTAAAAGGTGTTTACACAAAACAAAAGTAAAAAGTCTTGTTGAAAAAATCTGAATTTCTAGAATTAGCCTTAAAGATGGTTGTGTTACAGATGGGGAAAATCCAAGCAGCTGATATTCCTACTTAGAAAGTCAAAGGTCACTGAGATGACCAGAAATCAGTACCACACTTTTGCAATCAGATGCCCCTTTTCTTGGCTCCATGTCAGGAATACGTGAAAAATGCTCCTGAAAGTTGGAGCTGCTTCTAGGAAAAGTAAAAGAAGCAGAGTTATATCTTGGAAAGTGGAATCACTAAGCATTGAAACTGAATGTGTTCTAGTTGTAGTAGTTCTAGAAGTTGTATTTGAGTTATTTTTAAGTCAACAAATGAACTAAAAGTGTTTTGTTTATGTTTGCATTAACGTTTCAATTAAAGCTTATCTTTCTGTTTTCGTTCTTTGACCAGGACAAAGCCGCCCCTGTCCAAACCCATCATTGATATGCACTCCGCTGACTCATTACTACTAGGTGCAAATTATTATCTTTATGATCAATTCCATGGGTTTGCATGCTGTATGTTCTGCACTTAAAGTCCCTTATGCTTCAGAGCCCCATGTCCTCGACTCGGATCGTTACTGCATCATCGGGGCCGACCTCAGAGACATCTCAAACTTGGACGACAAACTGAAGAAGTTCCAGCTCAACACAGAGTTAGTGAATGAAATCTTTAGCATGTTTATTTTTTGTAAATGAGCCTGAGATTAATATTGTTTAATGAAAACAAGCTCCTGCTGCTGCCTGCATGTAAGCCGGTTTTCTCAGAATATTTGTGGAGATCCAGGAACTGCAGCTTATCTCTGACTGTAAGGAGTCTGTGACTCGCTGGAAGGTCAGTAGCCATCTGCAGGCTGATTGGAGACGACGCCACACCCACTGTGCTGAGTCATACATTAACTAAAGTACAGCTAAATCTGCTCCTTTAAAAGGGAGTTAATATTACACGGAATGGATTTGTTGGGAACTTATAATTGGATCAATACAGAAAAGCTGAATCAGTATTTGAAAGCTTTACTGGTGAAATAAAGTGTTTTGTGTTTTTCTGTCCTTCAGGTTACCTACGTTGTTCTTAGCAGAGTGTGTTCTGGTTTACATGAATCCATCGCAGTCCTGCAACCTTGTTCACTGGGCAGCAGAAACATTTCACACAGCCATGTTTATAAACTACGAACAGGTAAAATAATAGAATGGACTATTTTCCTTTTCCTTCTGTCACAAATAATTCTTTCAGCTCATGAAACAAAGGTAACCTGAGCAAACGCAAACTGCTTTTTTTACTGGGCAGTGCCTTTGTCTGCACTGGTGAAACTTGAATGACCTCAGCCTGCTGAATGCTCAAACTCACCTCATCTGCAAGGTTTTCCAGTCAAACCAACTAAATAAAGAGCTGTACCATCTCTAACCTGAACCCAATCATTTGCTGGTTTGACAGGAGGTAGCCTGAATAGAAATCTTTCTCAACTTTGACTGTGCTGATATCAGCTGAGGCATTACAGTATTGTAATGGCTCCATCTGTATAAACAGATTTAGCAAACAAGAGAAAATCTACTAAACACGGAATGTCTTTAAATCATCCTCTGAAATAATTCAGGTCTCATGTTTGTATGTTGTCTCCTGTCATGTCCGTCTTAATAAACCTAATCTAATCACAAAGTAATCGATCATGATACTCCCACCAGGGGGCGCTAATCGACCACATGTAAAACACTGAACTTTGAGCCAAAGATGGTTGGGAATTTTTGTATGTATGTACGTTTAAAAACACTTAGCTTATGTTTTATATTTAAAAAAATTCTGTATGGGGGCTGAATACTTTCTTCCAGCACTTTCTGTTTAAAAGGTGTGAATAATATTCTCAGTAGGCATCAGATCTTAGCAGCTCTTTCTGAACTGTGCTGGAACTCGATCTGTCTGTACGTCCAGGTGAACATGAGTGACCGATTCGGTCAGGTGATGGTGGAGAACCTGCAGAGGCGCCAATGCTCATTGGCTGGAGTCGAGGCCTGTCAGTCTCTGGATTCTCAGGTAACTTTTAACTGTTAAATAACGAAGTCATGTGAAAAGCTATTCTGAACGATCTCCTCCTTTGGTGTTTGCAGAAAGAGCGTTTCCTGGCAGCAGGCTGGGAGCAGGCCAACGCTCTGGATATGATGACGGTTTACAGTATTCTCCCTCAGGATGACGTGGCAAGGTAGTCAACGCTGAACCGCAGAGGCAGCATCCGTTTGCTCCAAAGATGGAGCTTTTTGGGTCTGATGTGAAACCAAACGCTCATATGTGACCAAGTGATGCTGTTGGCTGGTTTTCCTACTTCAAGACGCTGGAAGCTTTTAGATAATTAGAAATAAATGCTACATTCTATCTCAAAGGCTTTGGGCAGCAAAAATTAAAAATAAAAGGCAGCTGCTTCATCTTAGATGCTCATCAATATTAAGCTGGCCATCAGCAAAGTTTGCTGTAAAAAGTCTGATCTTGTACAATGATCGAAGAAATTGAAGTTGTTTTTTTTTCTTTACTTTTTATATAAATGGGGCCTATATTTTGAGTTTTACTTTTTGCTCCTTTTCATTCACAGTTTTAGGTGTTACATTCATAAGTTATTTTATATTTTTTATGAATGAAACAAATAAATCAGCTAAACTAAACCATATCCTCTAAAGGCCAGAACAGGACAAGGTTGTCGCGTTCAGCGCTCATTGAAAGTCTGTCGGGATGATCACACCCGACATGATTTTATGCAAGGGGGGTTGCATCGGTCTGACTTTGATAGACCCCAGGTCTATTTTAGTCAGACTACACAGCAATTCAGTGGCAATTTCATGGGTCTGAGAGGAAGAGAGACACGATTATAAAGTAAAACACATCTGCTTTGGGGAAAATACTAAATAAAATCTGTTAATCACAAGAGAAAACAGGTTTGAGGTCTTGCATGAGTCTGCAAGCTGGACAGACTCATGCAAAAACAATCAATGAAACATAAAAAAAAAAGAAAACTTTACCCATGATAGTTCAGAAAGACAGAAAGTGGATAAAGTTGTGATTCTCTTTGAGCCTCGCTAAAACAAGTTGGGACAGAATGCACATTTTACCAATCTCAGGGAAAAAAAAAAACTTCAGGATAAGAAAAACGGATATAATAAAGTAGTGATCCTCTTTTTTTATTTTCCTCAGAAAAAAAACTAAATAAAGGGGGAAAGAAAAAAAACTATTGTATCCTTTTCACCTTTTTATGAAAAAAGAAAGGAAAAACTTTGATAAACTTCCCAGATCTCTCTGAGAATCGCCGCTCTGCCTCAGCCAGCATATAGACCGTCCCACAGCATCTATTGCTGTTTTTCTTTTCTTTAGACATAGATCTCATTATGTTTTTACTACAGGCATATAAACATTCTGGTTTGAGATGCTGCACAGACTTGTTCAGTGGAGTGTTTTTTTTTTAATTTAAATTACTTTTCATAATCTGTCCAATTCAAATGTGGGTAATTGTTTTAATTTGTGTATAGCACAGAGACAGAAGTGAAAGAAATCTGTGCAGGTCTGCCCACCATGCCTATAGTCATAGCCTCTCTGTACGCAGTCAGCGTGAAATGGTAAAAAATCGAATCGGAGATTAAAAAGTCGAACGCAACCGGTGTGTTCAGGAAAGGTTTTCAATTCGGAGAGAACTTCACCACCTACTCCTACAGCTGATAATGTTTGCCTGCAGAGCTGCTTTCCTCCGACCTGAGCATCCGGGACATTATTATCTCTGATTGGTTTTTGTGGCTCAAGTCTCAGCTGCTTGTGAAGCTCCTTAAATGCTGAATCAAAATGCTGGAAATGTGCTGCAGAACCTTTAGATGTGTATCAAACATAGACTTTGCATGTATACCGGACAGTTATTCTTTAATGTGGGATTTCTTTTTTTCATGAATGAATTAAATTATTGCAGATTTTTCTTAGACTTTCTGCAGTACAACATGCATTCATTTAAGGCTTTTTAAGCGTCCGAACCAGCTAAGTCAACAAGGATTTCTATTTCTGTGCAGTTTTACTTTATAAATGGGTTTTCTCTCAGTGAACTGTTCCTTTGCTTATCTGTCCTGCTTTCCATGTGTTCTTATTCTTTTATCTTCTCCCCCAAATATGTTAATAGTTGAGGATTTTATGTTTTTGCAGAATCGAGCAGTTGGAGTTCCTGGACGAGCGAGAGCTGCTGCAGCAGCTTCTCCAGCACTACTGCATCTGCTGGGCCACTAAGGACAAACTCAACTTGGGTAAACCATGCAGCACCTTTGCATGTGTACTGGGGTTGGCATTCGGGCCGTTTCCAGAACATTCTGGGAAGACCCGTGACGCCTTTTAGCCCAGAAGTATTTACTTTAGTTTACTCATATGTGTTAAATCCGTCATACATCCTCCCAGTTTGATTGTCCAGTGCCCTCAGTAACCAGGACGGGTCGGGTTCTGTTTCCTCAGGCTTGTCCCAGCTGGCGTTCTGAGGGAGAAACTTCACGCTCGGGTTGGCCAAAGTCAACAGAAGGAGATGATCCGAGCGAGGAGGCAGCAGGGAAAAAGGAAGCCATTTATTCTCCCTCTGCTTCTCACCTGGGATCTGTTGAGATGCCAGAACTCCTGACATAAGCAAAGTTCACATTAAAAACTGTTTGAGCTGTAAACACCGTCTGAACTGTGAGGTCCATCCGTTACCAGAACACTGGACTCAGATGCAGCTAAAAAAAATAAAATATTTAATGTTAAATAATGTCTTCCTAGATTCTGATTATCTGTTGTATATGAAAGGCTGAGAGATGTGAAGAACCTCTATTGTTTCCCAGGGTGTCGGCCTATTAGGACAGCAGGTCATAGAAATATTAAACAGTCTATCTGTGATTGATTCACTCTGATCATAAATGCACGATTCTGTTTTTGGACTCGGAGGATCTTTAGAGATCATCTAGCATAAAAAAACCATGAAGTACCATGCAGAGAGTCTGCAAACTCAGACTGTCATCTGAATTTGATTTGTTGTGTTTGTAAGGATCCACCATGTTGGTTTTCCTCCTCATCTGTCTGTGGTTCAGTAGATCAGATGCAAAGAAAAGCAATAAAAAAAACCATAAATGAAGACTTTTTCTCCTGAAAAATTAATTATTTTGAGACATTTTCTCATCGACTGCAGCACTGCTAATAGAGTGACCGCACAATTATTCATACCCCTGGCAGAAGTGGATTTACTTTAATAATTTAGGATCCAATTAGATCTCATTAAAGGATATAAAAAAAATGAAAGATAATCCGTTACTCTACATTTTTAACAAAATGGCATCTCTAGAATAATTACCACTTACAGATATACAGGCATTCCATAAAGAAAAATATTCATTAATTTCAGTTACTTCATTTACTAAGTAAGATCTTATTTACATTTATTATCTGGCAAACGAAATCTTTATTTCTGTTAATTAGAATGATCTGCTTTAATTCAAATGCATGAATGATGGATTAGAATATTACATCACAAGATTAACTTAATGAAAAGTATTTTTAATACCTGCAAAAAGGCGGTTTTCTTTAAACAAATTAGCCTCATCAGAACATTTTATTTATTGAACTTGGATGCAAATTTATGGTCAATAAACAGGGTTTCCTAAGTGACAGGAGATAGTAGAACAATGGATATGGAGAATTTTGGAACGATAATGAAATATCTTTTTTTTTTTTTTTTTACTTTACATCTTAAAAGAATTAAATGTCAAATGACACCTCTTTCTGAAAAAGATCTATTAAAGATACAGAGGAACTCATCTTTTAAGGAGCTTCTCCAGGTTGTCAGGGTTTGGTTGAGGTTTGGAGGACCTAAATGCAGAGGCAGAGATGCTGAGGAGATTTCTAGCAGTTTAATGGGGCGAAAACAGTAAACAAAGGCAGGAATGTAAAAATCCAACTAATAATCAAAAGCAAACCAGAACTATGGAGACATCTGGGGAAACCAAACATGAGGAGCCAGGAAGAGACGAGGTAGGTGGACAACAGCATGGGGGGACAGCAAAGAGTGAGAGCAGAGGGAGAGCATATATAGCTGACAGAGACAAAGGGAGGGCTAACGAGCTGACAAGGAGCAGGTGTGAGAGGAGACAACGAGGGAGCCAAGGGATAAGGAACACACACACATACAAGAGGACAACGAAAAAACATGAGAACTAACGTAAATCTAGAAATTACAACAAAACTGGAATTAAACCAATAAAACTAGAAAACAAGGAGCAAAGTAAAGAACAACAGAACCAAGACCATGACACAGGTCTGTGGTGTTCTGATTAATTATCTTTGATGATCAGCTCCAAATATCTAAGGCTGGAAGGCCTCTTTACCATCACCCAAATATTTGGCCTCCTCCTCAGATTCTCTATCAGAACAAAATCCGGACTGCCCTGAAACCAGCCAGAAATTTTTTTTTTCCATCACTTAACTCTATTTATAATGCCGCCACCGACATCTATTATGTTGGTGTCGGCATTATGCTGTGGGACAGGGTTAGGGTTAAGCTGATCAGATGCATGGATCTTAATCTGGTCAATTCTGTAAAGAAACCCAATTAGAGGATGCAGAAAACTGACTTGGGCAGAGGTTCACCTTAAAACAGGACAACAACCATGAACATACAATGGATGGTTCACATCAGAGCAGAGAATTCCAATGGAATATCATAGATCCTCCAACTGACATGAACATTAACATAAACAACTCATGCTCTAGATTTACTTTGGTTAGAGAAACATCTCAACAGATTTTGTGGGGGTGAATCTAAATACTTTCTCACCATTCAGAATTATTTTCAAAAGCAAATTTACCTTCTTTTTACTTATATGAATCACTTTGTTTTGGTCTGCCGCATTAAGTAATCATTAAATTCATTGAAGTTTTGTGAGAAAATGTGAAAATGTTTAAGGTGTGTGAAGAGTATCTGCTTTTCTCACTGCAAAAATGTTCTGAAAATGAGTAAAAAAAATTTTAGATAAGTGTATTAACCCTTAATTGATCAGGAAAATAAAATGATCCACCAGTGTAATGGACATTTTTTCCCCTTAAAATAAGATAATTAGATATTATTTACTTGAAATAAGGGACTGTAATTGTTTTTTTTTTCTTATTTTACAAGTAAATGGTCTTATTCCTTTGACAAAATATCTCCCTTACCTCTGCAATTCAAGAAAACTTATTTTAAGAAAAAAAAAAAAAGACCTAGATTTACATTTTTGCAGTGCTGAGAGATTTAGCACAAATCTAGTGTTTTTTTTTCAGGGTATTTGCGCAGTGATCAAAAGCAGACAATGTAAATATGTCCGAATTAGTTAAATAGCTCTTGTTCCATTGGCTATTGTTAAAGCAAGCTTAAAAATTAAATGATAAAATTCCACATACTTTCACAAATGTGCGAGAAGATGAAAAGAAACAGCACATATAATAATCAGCTTACGTTTTTATTAGTATGGAATATTTGATGAAAACATCTAAGAGTTTCAACCCGAGCTGGATCGTTCTGGGATTTATTAATCATTTTAAAAGCTTCCGATTGTTAACAGTCTTAGAGGTGTAAACAATTGCAGGAAACTTGTGGGGGCTCCTGAGAGGGACGGCAAATATGTGGATGTGCGTATGCATCCTCCTTAAAGTGACTAATATATGGTCCCAAACCATGCAGCTCCGAGCCGTGCAGTCCCAGCTCAGACAGTTGAAAAAAAAGTGGTTCTGCTTCTAGTGTTAAGATGTCTGGGCCAGAAGGTAAGGTGGCGGAGAGCCTCAGTGTGATGGAGGCAGGAGAGCAGGCGGTGGAGGCTGGAGGTGGCACCATGAAGAAGAGGAGATGCATGTATGAGGTGCATGTTCAGCCCTGCCTGGTGGAGATGTTTGGGACCAGCCTGTTCGTGTTTGTGGGCTGCGCAGCTGTTATTGGGAATGTTGAAGCACCTGGTGCTATCCAGCCTGCTGTGGCGCACGGGTTAATACTGGGAGTACTGGTCATGCTGTTTGGCCAAATCAGGTACTGTCACCTGGTCTGTGTGACCTTTGATTCTTTTATTGCATCTTCTTCCTTCCCTGATTCTTGAGCAAAGTCTCATTTTGAGCCATCTAGTCTTACGGTGTTTGTCTGCAGGATACTAAGGGGTTAAAGGTCAAGACCAGCTGGATTGACACAGCTTAGAATGTTTTTAATGTAGATCTGCCCTCATTAGTCTGTTTATTCTACCTCTGATAGATTGCAGCTGTTATCGCCTCTTTATCACAGTTAATGATGGAGAGAGTAAAGTCCATGATGTTTGTTGTAGTGGGGGACACTTTAACCCTGCAGTGTCTCTGAGCATCTACCTGTGTGGAGGGATGGAGCTGCTGCTGCTGCTGCCCTATATCCTGGCACAGATGGCTGGAGCCATGATCGGTGCTACCATCACTAAAGTAAGACCCAGTTATAGAAGCTTCTTCACAGGGTAACAAGAAGTTGCAGACTTTTTTATTGTAAAGGTTCAATCACACCCTGATTATTAAACAAATAATCTATTATTCCTAATTTAATCTTAATTTAACTGGAAATGTTTAAAGAACCAGCAGGGCCATATTTAGCAATATGATGTATTTGTATTACATATTGCCAAAATATTTGTAATATTTTGGTGGTTTGGAACCAGTTTTGGTATCGATAGCTCGTACATTTAAATCCAAGTAAATTGATAATTATATCCAGGTTAAAGATCAATTTAGAAATAATTGGATTAATCAAACATTTTGATGCATTTATTTATTAATTTTTGATTCTTTTGTGATTTATTTAGTAATATAAAGAAAGCTTTTACATGTGTTTTTGTTTTCAATTTTTATCTTTTTTTTTTTTTTTAAACAAATAAGTTAAAAGACACCGGGTGACATTCAAAAGATTTAAAATAATCCTGCAGAACCAATCCTTTTCTGTTCTACGCTCAGGTGATGTACCCCTCTGGCATGTATGTGGCATCCCTTGGAGGAGCGTTCAACGCAACCACTGCAGATGTTGGGAAAAGCACTCTAGCAGAAGTGATGATGACCCTGGTCCTCACCATCGTGGTGTGCATGGGAACCGTCAACAGAAAAAGCCGAACGCCGTGGGCACCGTTCTGCATCGGCCTCACTGTCACGGCCTGTGTACTAGCTGGGTGCATATTTCAAACAAGATACAGCTTTGATTTCAGAACCATACCCTATAAGATGAAGTCACAGAAAAACATATTTTTTATAAAATCTATTTAAGGCAATTTTCATAAACGATACTTAAAAAGCTGTTTATATTTACAACGAAGGTTACATGATTAGCATTTTGGGATCACTGAGTTTCAACCAAGTATCTAAGCACCTCAAACTATATGTTCAACCCCTGTTGTCAATGTTTGAAAGCCAATATTAAAGGTATAGTGGAGGATTTTCGTGAATATTTTAAGACCCACCCTCACGACTTTTACAAAAAATTGCACATGCACAACCCTATACCCGCTCCCAAGAGGGAAAGCCTAGTAAACACGTGTGAGAGCATGCAATAGCACATATCTGCTCATGAGCGCTATGTTTAAAAACTGCTCTTTGCATCGCTCAAACAAGTTTGCTTTCCAAAAGAAGATTTGCAATTTTTCCACTATGTGAAAGTCACTACCGGGAAGTGAAAATGGGGATAAGCACCTTATGTAAACATATCACCAAAATGATTGACAATTAGGAGGACCAGTAATTTTGATAATCCACCCAGAAAAAGAGCATCCTCCACTTTACTTTTAAGGAATTTTCCTTTTTCCTATCATAACTAAGAGTTAATTACATCTCAGTTCTTTACTAGCATCTCATTTATTCAAATCAAATGCCTTCTTTTACCATGAGAATGTGTGAGCTGGTTGCTCACCTCCCCAAACATTCCACTCCTCTCATAGATGGAGTCCAACCCCCATCCTTCTTAGTGCATCGCTCTTATCTCTGCTTTAACTTCCTCCCGTCTGCTTTCTGATTTTATTGGCCCTGAACAGCCAGAAATGAATCTTTGCTGCCGTTGTGTTTCAGAGGATCTGTTTCTGGAGCATGTATGAATCCTGCTCGAGCTTTTGGTCCTGCAGTAGCTGCCAACCAATGGAATAATCACTGGGTCTACTGGGTTGGACCGACCTGTGGTGCACTACTCACCGTCAGCTTCATCAGGTATCTGCTGATGGTTATCCTCCAAATACATTGGAGTTTCTTGAGCAAGCTTCCTTCTGCCTGTTTGCTTTTATGTCAGTGCTTAAAGTAATTTAGATAAAATTTTCCGTATCTATTATAAAAAGGATGTAACTGGTGCTAAACAAACACACAGACTTCTAACTGTTGCTTCCTGTTGTAGTAAATAATCCCCCATTGGACTACTCTGCTAGTCTGTTGTCATAAAGGATTCGGACCCAGAGTCTTCCATCAATGTGGTTTTGATTTATTTTGTGGAAGGTTGACCTGCTTAAATCTTAAGGCAATACAAATAATAAATGTTGATAGGACTAATCAATAATCAGATTGTTTCTCTTTTTTTTCCAGGTTGTTGTTTGGTGACCAGAGAACTCGAGTTGTGCTGAAGTAAAGGTTTTACCTAAAGGACCAGATCAAGAAGAACAAAGTTCTGACTGATTCGATGGCAACTCTAAACTAGTTGAAGGATCAAAGTAGAGCAGATTAAATATATTTGATAATAAACTTTATATCCAGATGGAAGATACTTTCTGTTATCTTTACTGTCTCCTTCAGTCTCTGTTGTTTGGTTTTAAAGCCTTCAATGAAAAACTGCTGCTCATTTGTTTTATTGATTTTGTTGATAAGAAGGATGAAGCTCTCCAACTTAATCTAAAATTAGAAATGTATCATAAAGTGGTGCACTTTGATCAAATGAAGATCAGTTAAAATAAACCCTCTCTAATTGAACACCTGCAGAGTGTTGTGAGGAATTATTTAGCCACTTCTCATTTTGTTGAAATGTTTCAGATCATAACAAAACTTAAAGATTAGAATAATATAACCTGAATAAATACTAAAAACTGTTTGCAAATGATGATTTGATTCATTAAGGAAACAAATCAATTCAAGCTAAACTGTCCCGATGTGAAAAAAGTATTAACCCTCTGAACTAGACAGCTGCTTGTTAAACCCAGGGCAGAAACAGCTTCCCTTGCAGAAGAGCTTGGGCCGACTCTCCATGCATTCTTACTGTTTTTTTTTGTTGTTTTTTTTTTAGCTCAGACTCACTGAAGGCTACTGGAATATAGACAACCTGTTTAAGATCATGAAACCTTACATTTACTGTTGATATTTAAGTTATTCACAGACCTGCTGGCATTTTTTTGGATCATCGTTTTGCTGCAGAACCCAAATCCCTTGAGCTTCAAGTCACAAACTGATGAGTGCACTTTCTCCTAAAGCATTATCTGCTGAATTTATGAATCCATCTATTGCAGCAGGTTAACTGTATATGTATATAGATGTATAACTGTATAACTGATGCTCTGTTAGTATTAAATCCGATTTAATAGCACATTCTCCTTTTTAAAAGGTCCACTTTTGTCTCTTCAATCCTCAGAATATTTTCCCAAAGGTTTTGGGGATCATCTGTCAGAATTCAGAATCTAGGACCCAGAATTCAGGCAGAGGGAGAGTGATTTCAAACACAGCATTTATTAACTGCTAAGAACTCGGCGGCTCGTCATCTCAGCTTAGTGACCACAAACTGATGGGGAACAATAGCGAGCATGTGAGTCACTAACCTGGTTTATAAGTTCAGCCGGAGCCCAGAAGAAGGAGTGAAATCCAGCCGGATGAATTCTCCACAGCATGTGGCGGGAGCTTCCCAGTGCTGAAACAGAGCAGGGTGCTGAGGAGAAGCCAGTTGATGCAGAACAGCAAAAGTATCTAGAGGGAAAATCCAAAGTCAGTGTTGATGCAAGAGCAGATTTCCAGGCCAGAAGATCAAAGATCTGAAGAGGTACTAAAGGGAAATCCGAGCCGGGGTCAGGAGACAGATTCAAGGTCATTAGCAGGCAGAATCCAAATAGCGGCCCAAAGACAAGTCAGATCCGGGGCAACCAAAACTCAGAAGTCCAGAGGCAGAAACTAGTCAGGATTAGGTCATCAGAAACACAATAGATACGCTACAGAACTCTAACCTACGGCTCAAATAATCGGGCACTAAAGGCTGGACACAAGCAGTTTAAATAGGAATGGAGCAGGTAGATCTGATGAGGGAGAATGAAAACTGGGTGGAGCTAGGCAGGTGGATGAAATTAACCAATAATCCAGTCATTAGTGCCAAGATCATGGCATCATCAAGATGCCTTTAATGCTGGAAGGCTCTTTGTGTTCTTAAGGATAATAGGTGGTTCTTGTCCTTAAACTAAAGGAAGTCCTCCTTGAGCTCTTGGAGTAATTTTCATAGGCCAGCCAACCCTGTAAAGGTTCTCCACTGTTCTTTGTTCTCCATGTGTTTGGATGATGCTTCTCTTGAGCCCAAGTAGCCAAAAATGTCTTTGAAAGCCTTTCCAGACTGATAGATGTAACAGATCTTGTTTCTTATCTGTTTTTGGTTTAGTTAGATTGGAGCAAATATTGCTGTTGGAGGTTTTTAACCTATTTTATCTTGTCTGACAGATTCATTTTGTTGGTGCATCTTCCAACAAAGAGAGGCCAAAGTTGACTGGATAAATTCAGGCAAAGATTAAGCTTTTTGGCTCAACTTGTAGAAGGAAAGACTATTCTTTCGGAATGAAGAACACTTAACCAAGTGTAAAGCATGGTGGGGGCAGCATCATGCTTGTGGATGATGCTGTTACCAAAGCTCTCAGTGGCACTGATTTTTCACAAGGAAATTGTATTAAATAATTAAAACTGAGATGGTAGAAGGCATCTGAGATTGTTGTTTTATCATGAATCTGCTCTTAATACAAAACTCTTCAAAAATAATCATTAAATGACCCAAATAAATCATGACATTCATGACATTCATGAAAACAGCAGGAATTGATAACTTGAACTGGATTCTCCCATAGCATCACTAAACCAAAGAGTCACCCCAATCACATCTTAGCAGAAACATATCTAAAGCCACAGAAATGCTCCGTCAGGATTGTAAATGGGAGTGACCTATTCTATTTGCTGCAGTCTGTGCAGCTCTTATCTACACAGGCTTCTCTCAGTTATTGTAGCCCCACCTGGCCAGCCAAACAACGCTTAGAGGGTGATTTTTGTGAATAAATAACGGTTTAACCTCTGGAATATGCCTCTAAATAAGGTCAGGTTGCTTTCATTTTTATCTCATGATCCTTTCTGCAAACAGCGATTTTAGGGATTTACTCATAAAGATGGTTTAATGGAGCTGGACTTTCGCCAGACACCTTTGGTTTAAGACATGCTGGACAGAGACAGTCGATTACCTTCCACCTTTGGAGTTTTACAATCAGTCACACAAGTGTGCTAATGATTGCAGGTGCCAGCTATAAATAAAAGCCGTCCTGCAGCTCCTTTACCTCAGTTAGCAAACTGGATACGGTGTACGTGCTGCATGTAGAGGCTGAAGTGAAGACAACGCAGAAACCATGGGTGTAGAGAAAATGGAAATGGAAGATCCAGATTCTACTCTGATGGAGAATGTTAAGAAGCCGATCTCTAGGCCTCTGAGCAAATATGAGAGACTTTACCAGCCGTGCCTGGCGGAAATAATGGGAACCATGTTCTTTGTTTTCATTGGCTGTGTGTCAGTCATTGAGAATATCCCGTCAACTGGACGGCTGCAGCCTGCTCTGGTGCATGGGCTGGCTGTAGTAGTGCTGGTGGCCGTCATGGATAACATCAGGTAAGCTTTCTTTAAAAATAAAATCAAATACAAGCAGCTTTCTTTAGGATTACGCTGATTTTTTCATAATGTTTGGCAACAATTCAGCCCTAAACATGTATTTGCTTTTTGTTCTTGAAGCGGCTCCCATTTTAACCCTCCCTTCACCATTGCCATCTACCTGTGTGGGGGCATGGAGCTGATGATGGTCGGGCCCTACATCATCAGCCAGCTGATTGGAGGAGTCCTTGGAGCAGGAATGGCTAAGGTTGGTGCCATCACAAGCAAGATGTTCTGAAAGGATCTCCTGTTTAAGCTCAGCACTCTTAACCTTGCTTTCATCTCTCAGCTGATGACGAGCCCAGAGCGCTTCCTCAACGCCACAGGAGCTGCTTTTGACGTCCTGAAGTCAGAGAGCCAGCTGTATAGGGCCCTCTTCGGAGAGGTGGCGATGACTTGCTTGGTGACCATGGTGTTGCTGATGGCGGCAGTCAACAGCCGGACGAAAACGCCACTCGCCCCACTTCTGGTGGGCTGCACTGTCATCCTCAACATCTTGGCAGGGTAAGAATAATGGCTGAGAAATCAAACCAAAACACTGCAGAAGTTATCAGATGTGCTATTATCATTGTTTAGCATTCATTTTGAGAAAGCCTTTCCGTATCTGGTAGAAATAACAAACCGGGTCTGAGATGGTTAAAAGCAGGTCAGAGTAGGTGTCAGAAAGATGATATATTATAGATTAAACAAAACATCACTTGTTGACCTCAGCAGCCCCAAATGTGTGGCTGTTCTGTCTACAACATATAAGCGTGTTAAACTTCCAATCGTGTGCAGGCAGGGTTGGAAGCAGCTTGTTCTACATCCAGGCTGAATAGATGGCACCATAAAGGTCTGTAAAACACATTATGGGATCATTACATCATCACTGTCAGTTAAAATATAACTGTAATTTACACCATATAACAGAGAGCAGCTAACATGGGGATTTTAAGCTAAGTTCACTTCCCTTTGTCAAACTTAAAGGGAATTTTATACCCGGAATTTAATTCCGGGTATAAAATTTCAAAATTATCATTCAGTTTTAAGCTCTGCAAAAGTGCTATCCCCAAAATACATCCAATGAGGTTTTCTTTCTGAACAAGGAGGTATAAATAGGGTCATCTTTTCCTTTGAATTTACCAATTAGAGAACAGAACTTGATTGATCTCACAATGGAGAAATTTACTCCATTATTTCATAATTTTTAATATAAACAAATGAGTAAATGCTATATACGAATAACTGATTTTGTTTGGTGGGGATGCAGAGCTGACATATCAGGAACCTGTTTAAATCCTGCAAGAGCTTTCGGTCCAGCTGTGATGACCAACTACTGGACCTACCACTGGGTCTACTGGGTCGGACCTATTGGAGGGGGAATGGCGGCCGCGGCTTTGGTCAGGTATCTGCTCCTATAATAAACATTAACATAGATGATGGGCCAAACCTATAAAACTGTGATGTCCTTCGCTCTGTTTCAGGCTCATCCTGGGAGACAATAAGTTACGAGTTGTTATGAAATCATGAGGACTCTCTTTACTATCATGGAGGTGACATTGAAGTCGTAAACATTATCAGTGCATGCTTTTCCAGTCATATAATGTTTCATCGTTTTTTGCTATATATTCTTATTTCATGCTGACTTTTGCAAGAGCTGATTTTTTCCATGTGTAATAAAAACCAAATGTAACTTTTCTATGGTTTGTTTTCATTTGTTTTGTTTAAGTTTAAGATGATATCACAAATAAAGACGGGAGACAGGTTGGGTGGCATGCTTTTTATTGCTCCGTTGCGTTCACTGAGTCATGCATGGCTTCGGTGTGGTTGAGCCCAGATCAGCGGTACTTCTCAGAGAGAGCCAGAGCCAAGTTGGAGAGGAATTTATCAAAGGCGACGTGGGCTTCCGGGGTGAAGTCATTGGGGAACATGGTGGCGATGACCACCTGGAGGCATTGGGCCAGGATCTGTGGAAAAACACATTTGAGGCGCAGGTTTTAAAAGTGGAAACTCAATAAAAGCAAATTTAAAAAGCAATCTCATTCTTTCATCTGAGCGGTACCTTAAAGTTGGCTGGGTCCACCCTCAGCTGGAAGGCATGAAGCTCGCTGAGGTCCAGCAAGCCATTGCTCAGGTCATCGATCTTGGACACCCCCTGAGCAACGCCTTCCATGATCTTTTTGCCGTGCTTCTTTACGGGAGCAGAGCCTGGTTTCAGGTCAGGCCAGTGGGAGAAGTACGTCTTGGTTTGGGGGAAAACCACAAGCATTCTGCGGGTATAAAGGAGGTCAAAGGTCACAGAAGCTCTAGTGCATGACCGACCAATCAACACAAGTTTTTTCTTTTTTTTTTTTTTTTTTTTACTGAAAATTAGAACAGGATAGAAAAGGTTAACACATTTTTCACTGGCATCATTTACACAGAAAAAAGGAAACTTGTTTGCATAGGGATTTATTTTACTGATTAAATTTATTTTCTAAAATCTTAAAAGCTGAAATTTACTCTCCCTTGCATTGAGTGGAGCTTTTTCCACTTGAGGCAGTAGATGCCAATGAATGGCACATCTGAGGTTGTCATGGAAGCAGTTTACATCCCACTATGTAAGAACACCCTTTTAAAGAGTTTCTTACTGTTTCAGTACCGTTTTAGGCCCTTGTGGTTGTGCTTGTTTTTTTAATTAGAAGGGCAGATTAAAAAAAAGTGTTAGTATGAGTTTAAAAAATCTTTCTATGAGACTTTTAGCTCTAATTCTTATTATTTCTGTTTAAATGAATATGATTCCACCGGTTCAAGACCAAAACATTCAGATCCACGTACCTGGCCAGAGCATCTGCCCCAATGGCATCAGCTCCTTTGGAGATCTTGTTCCAAAGCGTTGTGACCGCAGCCTTGTCCTTGTCCGTCAAACTCATGTCTGCTTGCTTCTCTCTCTGTCTTTGTCTCACCTGACGGTGATTCACTTAAATTCAGTTGGCCCAAGTGTCACTCCCCCGCAAACGGGTGCCAGACCACGTCCGATGACGCAGATAGAGCCTCACAAACCCGCCTGATAGGAGGTTCGGTGGCGGGGTGCCAGTGGGTGAGGCTCTATCAGTGGGCCACATCACGGGCGTCGGTTGGCAAGAACGTGATCACTGACATTGTTATGGGTCCAGAATTTAGTCTGTCAGAAGTTAAGACAGAAAAAAGAAAGAAAAAAGAGGTACAGGGGGAAAACTTTGGGTAACTTCAGGTCGGAAGCTGTTATAACCAGAGCAGATTGGATGCAAACAGATGTTTCACCAAGGAAAGGGGTCAAACACACTTTCACTACATTGAGGATTCAATAAATTAATCTAACAAGCATTAAGAGCATTTGCAAAATAAAATACAATTGGACAAAATAGGACAAATCCTCTCATCTTTATCTGTAGGTTATTTACCAAAAAAAGCAAACAAACAAAACAAATATCTTAAAAGGGAAAAAGGAGAGAAGCTGAACTATTTAAAAATGTTTGTTTTACTTTCAGCATTACTCAATCTTCCTGAACTCAAACATCTGATTAGTTTTCCACCTTAGCCTCACCTCCAAAGTACCAGCTTTATCTCTTAATATATACTGCCGTTCTCATAGTGAAGCATGGTAGTGGCAGGATTATGCTATAGAATTAACTAAGGGTTTTGTCAAAGTAAATAAAGTGATTATAAGTTATTTATGCAGTCGTTTTTCTGTACCCTTCTGTTAAAAGATCCAGGCTGGAAATTTATCAGAACAGATCAAACCAAAGACGTTTGGGCCATAAGTTCAACAGGTATGTTTAGTGCTAAATCAGCACTGTACAACACCCAAATTTCCAAACATTCTTCATATTTCTTCATCTGGATTTGAGGAAATAATTATCTGTTCTAAACAACAGTCATAATATAAAGGTAGTTAAAGAAGAAACTAAAAAGTATAAGTATATAAGTACTGTAAAAATGGATTTGGTTTTCATGCAGGTGAAATTAACCAAAATATGTTGGAACACATTTGAACATCTTTTAATGTATGTTTTCTTTAAAAAATATCAGTTATTTGTTTTGTTTTTTTCCCAGAAAATTTTCTATAACAATAAAATCTAATTAGTATATAATAAGTATG